TCATCTTGCTCCCCCTCAGAAAGGAACGCCCACTGTAATGAGGTCATCCTTATAAGAAGCACTTACTGTGTGCTAGGCCTTGGGCTCAGTGTTTCACATGCATGAGTTCATTAAATCTTCACAGCAATCCTGTGGGGCGGAGGATACCATTGTTGTTTCTGTTTACAGATGAGGAAATTGAGATTCAGAGAGGTTGAATGACTTGCTCAAAGTTACAGAGCTGGCAAGTGGTAAAGCCAGGCAGAATTTCAAACCCAGAAATGTCACATGCCAGAATCTGTGATGCTGGCACATAGAACTTTCCAGACACTTCCTTCTGTTCTCCCATCCTACCTCCCCTGGTGCAATTCCTGAGCAATGCAGGGGACAGGGAGAGCCTATCAACCTGACCTTGAGAAATCAGCTGCAATACAACATTACCATCTGCCTTTGCCTCCCTCCCATTGGCTAGTCCAGCCTGGCCTGGAGCTCATGCCTGCTTATGAATTTAGTTATTCCTCACTTTGTTGCAGAAAGAGTATAAACAGAGTAAGTGCCCATCAACTTCCCTGTCTTGATCTGAAGCTGCCACTTGGAAGCCACCGAGGGGCGGGAAGTATAGTGGTTAAGACCCCAGGGAGCCAGAGCTGTATTGTTAGGGTCTGAACCTCAGCCTCGCCACTTACTAGCAAGAAACCTTGAGTGAGATGCTTAACTTCTCCATGCCTTCATTTCCCCACCTGTAAAATGGGGTTAAGAACAGACCTCCTGTACAGGGTTTCTGGGAGAAGCAAAAAGCGCACAAAGAAAGATAACCGAGTTAGGGCATGGAAGGAGGGGCACTCCCAGGGTGCTGTTTCCTGGGGCTGCAGCCTGACCCCCTCCAGTGCCAGGTCAGTGTCTTTGGGCCATTTCCACCCACCAGCCCTGCAAGCTTCGTCTAGCCCCGCAAGCTTCGTCTAGCCCCGCCTTGGGCTTGCCGCTCCCGCCTGGGTCCTCCTGCCCGCCAGCCTCCCAACTTGCCAAGCCGATTGTCAGAGGATGAGTTCCTTGTGCAGTACGCCCCCCCCCCAAATGAAGCACTGTCTCCTCCTGCGGTCTTGCCCAGCTCCATGGTGGGCTGACTGGGGGAGGGACTGAATGTTTATGGTTTTTACCAGCCCCTGATTTTCTTCCCCAAAGGGTGCAAATGTAGCTGTTAGAAACCTCAGTTCACCTTGAGGACACTGAGCCTTGGAGAGGTTTGCCCAAGTGTCAGGCTGCTGGACCCTTCAGGGCTCAGATTTCACGTCGGGCTCTTGAGAGGGCAGAAGTTTGGGAGCTCACAGAAAGTGCAAGGCAAAAGCTGCAAACCAGTCTGTAAAGTCTGGAGGAGACGTGCTCACCCGGACTTTTGGAGCTGCCCTGACACCTAGTGGCCACTTGTAGGAATTACTCCAACTTTGGGAAGGCTCCCAGGCTGTTACAAGGCAGGTTTTTTTTGGCTTGGCAATCCTTCACCCACTTGGGGGTGGCAGTGTCAGGGATGGCCTGGATGGTCGGGGGTGGTGGTAGGGGTGGATTTTAGCTTCCCTATATCTTCATAATTTCCCCAAACCTACCCAAACAAAAAATAACATTTGATCAGAAGATTGCTGCCTTTTCATTTTTATGCAAGAGATGGTTTAAAAGCATCTTGAGAAAACTTTGCTGTTTTTATGGATCCATGGCCTACAGTCCACAAATTCTGATACTTTGTGGCTTCATAATCCTCAGGGTTCCACCCAGACACCAGCAGTTATTGGATGCTCAGTATGGGCAGGAGACTTGATGGGGAAATTTATAGATTATAATAAACTTAAAAGACATAGCCTGACTTCAAGGGGATTCGATTTGTTTGTGGAGTCAGAGCAAAAGACATCTACATATCCTGGTGAGTATGGTAGATGTGAGCTTCAGCTCTCAAATCCCTTATTGCATTTCTTTATTTTCTTTTATTATCCTAATTTTGACTCTGAGCTCCTATACCACCCAATCAATGGAAATTCAACTACAGGCTAAGACCTCAATTAAGGAAAGGAAAGGGGGAAATGCACTGTGGGGAGGGGGCATAAATTATTTCGAATAATGATTCTGCCCCATGTGCAGAGGGGCCTGGGTGTCAGATCCACCCCCTGGTGAAGCAAAGTGAAACCCAGGGTGGTAACAGGATGCCTAGATGCCGGTCCAGCACTCCACAGTGCTCAAAAGTGTTGGTTCTTGGTTACCCCCAAATTTTCCCAGTTCTCCACCACTTGCCCAAAACAATTGCCTGGTGAATGTATTTGTTCATTCCAAAGGTATTTATTGGGCATCTACTTTGTGCCAGGCACTCTGCGGTGCTACAGAGATGCACGCTTCAGTCCCTTCCCTTGTTGACCCACAAAGACAACTGTCAAGGTTGATCAGAACCCTTCAAGGCGCCCACCTCCCTCACCTGTGCAGCGCATGCTGTTCTTGACCCTCCCTGCTCTTATGCTAAGCAACTCTTATCTCCCTAGCTTCCAAAGAATTTTAAAAAGAAATGCAGAATAGTAGATTCCCCAGAACAGATTGGGAAGCTTTTAGTTCAGCTGTCCTACTTTTCAGCTGGAAGCACAAGGCTTCAAGATCAGGTGGCCAGGTAGTGCTGGGCTGCAACCACCTGCCAGGTCTCTGTCTCCCATCCTGGGCTCTCTCCACAGGCCCCTCAGCACTTGCTTCTAGAGGTCCCTGTTCTCGTTTCCTGAGCATCTGTTCCCTCAGCCACTGCCTCCAGCATCTCAGAAATCTCTCTCCTGGACACAGTTTACATTTACTATGATGACTGCTTTTGTGTACTGATCTCCCCCCTTCCACTCCCCGCTTTTCTCCTGCAGCCTAGCAACCCCGTTGCATTCCCAATTTGTCTTCCCCCAGCTCCCACCAAGGCTGCCGAGGATGTGCCCCCTGCTGGCCACTAAAACCAGGAGGTGCTGCCCCGGGGAAGGGCACACCACCAGCAGCCCAGAGGCGTCGAGACCCAGCCAGACTTTATTGGCTCGCTCACAGTCTGGCCTTGATGTTTGTCTACGGAGATTTCAGACAGATCGCTGCCTCCTCCCTGCCACCATCTGCCTTGCCAGGACTTCTCTGTCGCCAGGACTTCTTTCCAGACCAGACTTGTTGCTATGGCTCTGCCGTTTTCAAGAAACTGGTTTGAAAGGTAAGGAGATAACACTGGGTGTCGGTGAAGCTTCGTGGCTGACTGGCAGGAATGTTAGGCAGGCTCAAATCCAAGCGAGACCATTTGTCAACCCACCCCTCCTGGTGGCAGAGGGTTGAACACGGGTAAGTTTCCGTGCCGGCCTGGGGGACGGGGCAGTGAGCTGGTTTACATTGTTGGCAAGCATCTGGCAGTAGACTGAAATTTAGAATATGCATACCTTTTGGCCCAGCGATTGCACGGGGTTTGCTCCACCGAGCCCTTGTTAGAGAGTTAATGCGTGCAAACACCGTATACAAAAGGATGCTGGCTACAGTCTTATTTGTAGTAGCAAAACAATGGAAATAACTTGAACGTCCATAAAAATGAGACTCAATAATGAGACTTCTGTGCTATAGCGCATGGCATTTAAAAAAGATGGAGATGGATCTAAATGTACAGACGTGGAAAGATTGCCAAGACATCCTGGAAGGCAAAGCAAGTTCAGAGGAATGTGATAACATGCTTCTGTTTATGATAAATAAGAACCTGTGTGTTTGTGAGGGTAAAATAATATATAAGAAAACGTATGTGTCCTTTGAGCCTACCACATGCCAGGTAATGTTCTAACTGTTTTACAGGCGTTCACCCACTTAGTCCTCAGAAACTCGGCTGCCATGAGTACTATTATTAGCTTCATAGTACAGATGGGGAAACTGAAGCCCAGGGAGATTGGGTGACTTGCCCAGGAGTGGAGCTGGGCTTGGGACTCGGGTGGTCTAGCCTCGGAGCCCACGTTTTTAAACCCCTCTATCACACGCACGCACGCTGATCGGCGCACAGGACAGAGGTACCCGGGGAAGGCTCGTGGGGCAGGGCCAGAGGGGATCCCTCGGACAGAGCTCCCTAAGGACACTGCAAGACACAAAGCCGCAGGGCCAGACGGGGGTCCAACCCGTAGGCCTCGGCGAGGAGGTGCAGCTCGGTGGAGCAGCTTCAGGAACCACACAGACCAGGTGCCCTGTTCTGTGGGCGCACTGAGCTTCTGTGCTGCCCTCCTCCAAAGCTCAGTGTCCGTCGCCGTGTGCGGTCGAGGACAGTGGCTATTGGGCCCTGTGAGAGGCCGTGGCAAGGGCTCCCTAGGGACGGTTACTCCGGCGCTTGCCTGTCTCTTTAAGGGGCGGAGCCCACGTTCCCCCCGCGGAGCTGAGTGGCCCGTGGCTTCCCAGGGCAGCTCCCGGCCCTGCCGTCCTCCCCTCTGGGCTCCCCGGGGACCTGCAGACCCCTCTCACCGCACCAGGGCCTAGCCACGTGCTCCCCTGGGTCACCCCACTGTGTGCCCAGAGTCTGGCCCCGCAGCCAGCAGCCCATGGCGGAGGGGAAGCTGAGGCGGAGGGCAGCTCGCGGGAGCCCCGGGGAGCGCTGCTTCGGGGGAGGTGGGAGATGGGGC